ACTACTGTTACCACCACCCATGTTGTTGTCATCCATACTACTGTTACCACCACCCATGTTGTTGTCACCCTACTACTGTACCACCACCCATGTTGTTGTCATCCAGTACTACTGTTACCACCACCCATGTTGTTGTCACCCACTACTACTGTTACCACCACCCATGTTGTTATACCCCTACTACTGTTACCACACCCATGTTGTTGTCACCCCTACTACTGTTACCACCACCCATGTTGTTGTACCTACTACTGTTACCACCACCCATGTTGTCACCCACTACTACTGTTACCACCACCCATGTTGTTGTCACCCACTACTACTGTTACCACCACCCATGTTGTTGTCATCCAGTACTACTGTTACCACCACCCCTGCTCCTGCCACCCACCACTACTGTTACCACCCATGTTGTTGTCATCCAGTACTACTGTTACCACCACCCATGTTGTTGTCACCCACTACTACTGTTACCACCACCCATGTTGTTGTCACCCACTACTACTGTTACCACCACCCATGTTGTTGTCACCCTCTACTACTGTTACCACCACCATTTGTTGTCTACTATACCCACCACCCATGTTGTTGTCACCCACTACTCTACTGTTCCATCCATACTGTTGTTTGTCACCCTTGTCCACATGTGTTGCCACTACTACTGTTACCACCAACCATGTTGTTGTCACCCACTACTTGTTACCAACCCATGTTTTGTTTACCACTACTACTGTTACCACCCAACCTGTTGTATCCTTTTTGTTACAACCATTTCATCCAGTACTATGTTCACGCTACTGACCACACACTACTGTTACCACGTTTATCCAGTCTGTTTGCTCCTGCCACCACCACTGTTCACTACTGTTAACACCACCTCTGTCTGCCACCCACCACTGTTTCGACCACCCACCACTACTGTTACCACCACCCACCACTACTGTTACCACCACCCTGTTGCCGCCGCCCACCACTACTGTTTCCACCCACCACTACTGTTAACACCACCTCTGTTGCCACCCACTGTTTCGACCACCCATCTACTTCTGTTACCACCACTACTACTTGTTACACCACCCCTGTTTGCCGCCCACCACTACTGTTACCACCACCCACCACTACTGTTAACACCACCTCTGTTGCCACCTACCACTGTTTGACCACCCACCACTACTGTTACCACCACCCACTACTGCTGTTACCACCACCGATGCTGCTGCCACCCACTACTACTGTTACCAGCACCCACTACTACTGTTACCACCACACCGATGTTGCTGCCACCCACTACTACTGTTACCACCACCCTGTTCTTGCCATCCATGCAAAGGTTACCACCACCCAGGTTGCTGCCACCCACTACTACTGTTACCACCACCCCAGTTGCTGCCACCCACTACTACTATTACCACCACCCCAGTTGCTGCCACCCACCACTACTGTTACCACCACTCATGTTGTTGTCACCCACTATTACTGTTACTATCACCCACTACTGCCTTCATTTCTCTCACTACCACCCACTACTGCCTTCATTTCTCTCACTACCACCCACTACTGCCTTCATTTCTCTCACTACCACCCACTACTGCCTTTATTTCTCTCACTACCACCCACTACTGCCTTCATTTCTCTCACTACCACCCACTACTGCCTTCATTTCTCTCACTACCACCCACTACTGCCTTCATTCCTTTCACTACCACCCACTACTGCCTTCATTTCTCTCACTACCACCCACTACTGCCTTCATTTCTCTCACTACCACCCACTACTGCCTTCATTTCTCTCACTACCACCCACTACTGCCTTCATTTCCCTCACTACCACCCACTACTGCCTTCATTTCTCTCACTACCACCCATTACTGACTTTATTTCCCTCACTATCATTTACAAGTCCCTTCACTCTTGGTGGTCATGTGTAGAGAGTTTGTGAGCTCAGTAGTCTTGAGGTTATTGCTGCCTCACCATAAGAGATGTAGTGATACACAAGATGCTTACAGAATAAAACAGAAAACATCCATGATATATTCGAAGCGCCTAATGTACAGTTAAACCATGTTATACGAGACCTCAACTTACATTTATAAAGAAATGACACTATTACGTGAGACTTATTTTACTGACACATAAAATAAAAATCATATGTGAATAAGACACCGTAAGTTATTCTACAAAACTACGAATCAAATGTTGATAGATTTTGAGATCGGGCCAAGTACAGTTAGAGGCTGACAATAACAAAGCCTGACTGTAAACTACATAACTTGAGCTAATATTAAGTAAAATGAAATAGTAATAACAAGAGGGACCAAAAGATAGTATATATTACCTCTTCATCAGTAATCTCAATGTTGTAGTATTGCTGATACATAGATAGTGCATATAAAGTATTTTTGATATCGTATTATGATCACAAATCAGCATTGGATAAGGAATATACATACCATGAGGTATATTAACGTTAATCAGCTACTGTTATAAAAGTGCTGAACACAGCATCTTGAGCACTTTGGGATGATCACCAAGGCTTCATACCAACCATTTATACTTATAAAACTTGGTAAAATATTATACTGTTCTCTGTACAACGTAAAGGCTCTAATTTTCTTTATTTCCAATCTTACAATATCATCCATAAATTATCGGCAGCCAAGCTAAAATGAAGCTGGCTCACCGATTAATTCAGTTTTATCTTACATAACAGAGCTTAGAAAATATATCCTTAATGCACTGTTTTTGGGCTGTCTAAAAGAATATTGTAGCTGCCACAACCTCCTTTACAGGAATTTGGAGTCCAGTTGGCACTTTGGATTCGATGTAAAACATTCTTAAATTATGCCACAGCTAATGATCGTTCACCAAGACACTGAGGCTATTAATCTATTGCAAGAAATGTTACACCACTTCTTCATGTTGGGACATTTTCTCTTTACAAGTAACACAATAATAATTTTCTTAACTTTCAAAGATATTAAAGTGCTGTACCTCTTTCAAATATCACAAGCAGATATAATGGGTGTATTTCATTTCTCATTAGAGCCTTGTTCCATTATAGTTCTACATTTATACACTTTAGTTAACTGTTCCACCGGTGAGTGTTCACAGTGCGACATTGGTTTAATTAAGAATTCTTGCATAGTATGGGTGCACAACGATATTCTTTGTATATGCATAGATTTGCTCTTGATGTCAGCACCACACGAAGAGCGTGGTTAAACTTGCAATAACTGGTTGTAATGGAGTATGTTGTGATTGTCCATAGTGCATGCATAATATAAACTCTAAGGATGAACCTTTACTGTGTACAGTAGGGCATTTTATTCCTTTACTGCATAGTGCAGTACACTCGTGCATGTAACTGTCTGCATTGTGGTGTGCACAGCTAATGTTTTCTACAACACATGAATTATGGGCGTGCACTTGTATATCACATGCATAGTGTGTTACCTATTTTCGAAGATTACTTGTCAGACGAATATGACAACTGAGAGCCCAGTGTGTGACTGATGAAGCAAACACACAAACGCTATTTACCAAAATATATTTTCCCATCGTGTGATGATAATGCAGGAACTCTGCTGTCCAGTTTTACTGTGGCAGTTCTGAAAAGTCTTTCCTGTATACAAATTACATATTAATTCTTCTATCTAGCTATGTTGAATAAGAAAATAGAAGAATAAGTAAATAGGAATATTTCTTATACTGGGTCTCCTTGCTGATGACTCTATATTAACAAACATAATGATATCACTACATGGCTTCTGCAGTCAAAATTATTGCTCTCCCATATTTAAAAGCCAAAGCAATACATTCATCACCAAAATGTTGATTTTTTTCCTACGATACATGCTAATTGAGCCATTGTTTGACAAGATCTGATATCTGTCCTCTTTCAGAACATGGGTTGCCACATGTATGTACAGTACTTGTGACAGATCCGACACGTTTACTCCCAGTAATTGTTTTTATACTGACACTTCGTCCTTATAAATACACTCAAACAATATATTCTCTTCCCTAGGAACAAATGATTTTCCTGACAGTGTTAGACCTAAATATTTGTTAGATGTGTATTAAGAGAGAAAAAATCCTCCTCACAGGAAGACAACTGCTGAAACATCTCGCAGCTCAGTACTTCACTCAAGAATACATAATTATGCCTAATATTTATTTCTACAATCACAATAGATAAATTTTACTACAGTTGACAATAACTGAAAAAGCATCATCATTAAGGTGAAGCTAAAATATTATGGCTCGACAGCAATCTTAGAATTGCCTCTAGTTACAGAGGCTTAAGCCACGAGTTATACAATTCTAAGAATAACATAGTCCACTGCTACAACTACAGCTATGAAGAGAAAACAAACTTAATTTGTTGATTTCATAATATTTTCCAATATGACTTCATAGGAAATCAAATTAAGAGGCAATATTGATATCTATGTAAATCAAGTTACCAGTAAGATTCAAGTTAAAGTTCACCGCTATGTTTTTGTTATTTTTGTATTTTCCGGCCTAAGTGGAAGTAAAAACAGTATACATTGATAAATAATATTTCATACAGTAGTTGTGATGTATCATTAAAATCATGTTGGAAGGACACTGGAAAACCCACTTCCGGATAGTATCAGCCAATTAGAATGCAGGAACTTCAGGGTAGTGTGAAACAATCAGAATGCAAGCACTTGACTTCATGTCATTCCACGTGGACATGTTTAAGCTGAGGAGCAGAATATGTGATCACTAAATCTCTTTGTTTTGTTTTTTCTTGCCCATTCTATATACCATTAATTATATTTTTGAGAGGTCACTTGTGATTGTCAATGCTTTCAGCAAACACACACACACACACACACACACACACACACACACACACACATATATATATATATATATATATATATATATATATATATATATATATATATATATATATATATATATATATATATATATATATATATATATATATATATATATATATATTGCCAGTTCTTATGTCCACTTAAACAAACAATACTGTATTTTTCAACTGTCTTATTGTCACTTCGTATCACGTGTTGTCTGTAAAAAGCTGGAACTACCTTTTTTATTCTCTAAATATAAAGCATTTTTTTAAATGTATAACAATTAGGAAAGCAGGCTTTTCACTTATACACACCAAATAACCTTAAGAATAAGCAACAATTCTAAGTTAAATATATATAATCTATGTAATCCAACTTCTTACTGATTGCTGCTCACAATGTTAATGTCTGTCACCGCTTGTAACGTCACTGATCTTGTACTGATTCTGGCGATGTCACATGCACAAGGCATCAGTTGTTTTGTCCAGCACCTATCACCAATGATGCTACCTCATGTACGCATTACAAGAATTTAGTTTTAGTCACCACCCTACGATGACCTGATGTATGAACTTGATGCCTTCACTAAATCCTAAATGATCATTATAAAACCCACCCTTTGCATTGGATATGTGGAGCCTGGCCATTTTACCAGCACCTTATGCAAAGGATCTTTCAGATTTAACCATCTGACAACATTCTAGTGTGTTCCGAACAACTAATATGGCCATCTCTCTGATAGTGGGTATTAGTATTTTACTGCCAGCTGTATTTATCCTGCTGGCTATGCCTTATACATGTCATGACGTCACTATAACCTCAAATCATCATCAGTGTGACATTGACAATGGGTACTGTTGGTTTTGCAACTTAATTGTCACCCTCCTTATGTGCAACAGAAAAGCCAGAAACATATATCATCTTTGAGTGAATGATACGGGTTAATGGTTGAGTATCAGAGAGGCTGGTCATCAGAAGAGGGTGATGGGTGGTAGCGAGGAAAAGTGGGTGTTCTGCCATCATTGTAAGCAGCCTTCAGCTCATCATAACAAATGAGCATCAAGCGGGAATTGAGCGATTTTCGACAGTCAGGACAGATGCGCTTCTTCTTCTTGCGGTCCCCGGACGCCATCAGGTCTCTGACACACCTGTAAGTAAACTAGACCATTATTCTTGTTCCATATACAGTGCAGTATACTACATAAATATATTTTATGAACTTTTCACAGAAATGGATAATACTGAATTTATTATATACCTTTACTGTATTGTACAGTGTATTTCTAAATTAGGCTGAGGTTCAATAATTATATGGCTAAAAAAAGTTTGAAAAATTAATACGTTAGTTAAACACCAAGATTTATTAGGAAAACAGAGAAATATAAAAGTGACATCCATCATAATTATGACAAGTGTGTGACACAGGCAGGAAAGAACAGAAGCACGGAGTGATAGTTGTGAGTGGAACAATATAGTAGAGCCGATAATGGAAAAATCGTGCAAATGGTGATACAAGCATGAAATTTGGCATGATCATACCCTAGGGGCTACTTGTCAAATCTGCCTGATTGGCCATTTGGAAATCCAAGATGGCGGCCATTTTTCAAGATGGCTGCCAAATTGACCATCGAAAGATGATTTTATTTTTGTAGTTGGTCAATCTAAATGATCTTAGTGTCGATATGTATGTTTTCAAGCATGCTCAGATGATTTTTTCTATTTCTGATACTCTCAGATATATATTTGTCTTATTTATGACTGGTTTTATCTACTGGTTTTATGTTTTTTCCAACTAGGTGAGGGTAGCATGCAGAGGGTCTGTGCATGTGAGGGAGTGATTGTCGGGCACTACCAGGACACACTGGTGCCATCACTGCTGTGCAACCCAGCATGGGGTTCAGTGTCAGCTAAGAAAAACATGTCATACTGCAACAGCTTAGTGTCCCAAATGCTGCTTAACCAACCCCAAATCAGTCAAGCAGCCGCACCTGAATTGACAGGATGTGCCAGTGCGGGAGAGCCGAGCCAAGGATAACGGGGTTTTAGTTATCTGGATGGTGTACAGATCGCACGGGACTAATGACACTGGATGAACGATCGGACTATGTGTAGGGCAAAAGGCATGAACCTAGTTGTATCCCATACAAGAAAGTGCTCATCAGGGTGGTAAAAGGATAAACCCTCGGCCCTGAAGATCAAAAATAGTTATGGACACAAAATCTACCAACAAATCATTCCTCACTGACTGGGCAAAGTGTTGTCTTTGTCAACAGGATAAGAAGGAAGATCTTAAGTCTCCACATGCAAATCCTGCCAAAAAAAGGAGATGACGGTTACAAGAGCTTGGCAAGGAATATTCCTCTATTTCATTCAATCACTGCACTGCCAATCAAGCTTGACCCTGCAAGACTTGTTGAAGATGATGGGATAGAGGAGACCTTGAGGAGAAACAAGGCACAGTATCATGAGAGTTGCAGACTTCTGTTCAACAACACAAAGTTAAATACAGTAGAGCTCAGAAAAGGCGAACCTCAGCAGTTGCTACAGAGGAGAGCAGCAGTAGCAAGATACCACGAATGTTCAGAGACCTCAAAGCAACAGAATGCTTTTTATGTGAGGAAGAAGCTTCGGGAGATGACATAAGACATGCAATGACAATGAAACTTAATAAAAGATTGAATGATTGTGCGAAGACACTTAGCGATGGCAAACTCCTTGCCAAACTAAGTGCAGGAGATGTTGTGGCACAAGAACTGAAGTATCACCCTCGCTGCCTGGCAGACCTGTACTACCGAGAAAGAACACATCGAAATGCTCATGAGCAAGAAGAAGCACAAAAGCTTCATCCGAACAAGGAAGCATACCCAACTGCTTTCTCTGAACTGGTCACTCACATCACTCAGATGAAAGCTTCTAGTGAAGGTACTGAACCACCCATTTTCAGACTTGCTGACCTGGTCACATCGCCCGATGTTCATGCTACTCGACTGAAGGACCAGCTGCTTTTGCACATCCCCCAGCTGCAAGCTCATCACCAAGGAAGAGATATCCTACTGGCCTTTGAGAAGGATGTTGGCTCAATCATGGTACAAGCAAGCAAATACGGTGACGCGATCCATCTGACCAAGGCTGCTGGGATGATACGATTGGACATGCTTCAGCACAAGTCACACTTCAGCAGTACATTTCATACATTTCTCCAAAAACTGGAGAAGCTTTCTGCGAGATGAGAAAAACAAAACAGAACTATTCCATTTTCTCGCGGAGAAAATGTGTGAAGCACAGACGACCAGCACAGTGGTTGTGACAAAGGGAGAAGATGCCATTAGTAACACAGAGAAGTCCCTAGAAGCTGTGGCTCCATGCTGTCATGAGGAAGCAGACACACGAATATTTGTGCATGCTAGGGCTGCAGCAATGGAAGGTAGCAAGTCCCTCATCATCAAAGCCAATGATACTGACGTGGTCGTCATAGCAGTATCTGTACTGCCGTCACTATAGGATAACATGTGGATAACATGATAACATGTGGATTGCCTTTTGCCAAGGAGCCAGTCATCGATGGATTCCAGTTCATGATGTAGTTTCTGCGATAGGGCCTAAGAAAGCTAGTGGGATCCTATACTTTCATGCTTTCACTTGCTGTGACGTTGTGTCTGGCTTCTGTGGGAAAGGAAAGAAATCTGCATGGCAGACATGGAATGCCTGTGATGAAGTTTCAGAAACATTCACCAAACTCAGCCAATGTCCAACAACAGTTACTGATGTTGACCTGCAGAAGCTGGAAAGATTTGATGTCCTCATGTACGACAGATCTAGTGCAGCCACTGGTGTAGATGAGGCAAGACTAAATCTCTTTTCCCGCAAACAGAGACCATATGACTCCATTCCACCAACCCGGGCAGCCCTCAAGGAACATGCAAAGCGGGCTGCCTACCAGGCTGGTATCATCTGGGGCCAGGCAACAATCTCCAATCTAGAAACCAGCAGTCTTGTCAACTGGGGATGGACGCAGAAGGGAGAGGCATGGCAGATTCGTTGGACGACTCTTCCCCCGATTGCGACAGGCTGTCAGGAGCTGACCAAATGTTCCTGTAAGAAAGACTGCAACCAGAGATGCAAATGCTTTCGCTTTGGACTTCTGCACAGCACTTTGCAGCTGCATATGTGAACAGCAGTAAATGCACAAAGATGTACTGTCAGGGGTAGTCACAGGAACCAGTGCTAATAGTGAGTACTTTTTTTTAGTACGTTCTTTTTTGTTATATTTTTTTACTAAAAGTGTAATTTTATTTGGATAAAAAGTTACAATGGACTTAAAACTATAATAAATCATCTGAGCATGTTTGAAAACATACATATCGACACCAAGATCACTCAGGTTGACAAACTACATAAATTTCTATAAGCAAAATAAACGCTTGAAGGTCAATATGGTGGCCATCTTGAAAAATAGCCGCTATCTTGGATTTTCAAATGGCCAATTAGGCAGACTTGACAAGTAACCATTAGAGAATTACCATGCCAAATTTGGCGCTTGTATCACCATTTGCATGATTCTCTTGAAAATTTGCATTTAGCTGCCCCACTAATAGCAGAGCGCAGTACTTCAGCATCTTTACTAAGGTGGCACTATAGTAAAAAACCTGTCTCTAAAACCAAGGTGAAGTATAAATTAATGGTTATTTCTACCTCCACATGTAACCTGTTTGACTTCATCATGTGTATCATCATGCTCAAAACAACAAGTAACCAGATTGAGAAATTAAATTATGAGATGATTGAAAAACATCAGAGTGATTAGTGACAACTTGCGAGGGAAAAATGTCATTAAAATCAATTTTATTTTACTTCTCCCTATCATTGGTCATTCCGCTTGAGTCAAGACACCACCTAGACCTAGAGCCTTGTGTGAGGGTAAATTGTTGAGAGAGTAAAGTAGTTGGGCTTTAGGAAATTGTGAGAAAAGTAATACTTTGTAAATGTAAGAATTAGCAGGTATTAAGTAAATGACACTATAAATCAGTATCATGTAGAAAAACTTCATCATAAATTTTATTTGATTAGTTCAAAGATTTCTACTCCCTTGTGTGACTTATTGCTCGACAGGAGCCAACACCAGGCCTATATACTAGAGTATAGTAATATCGGTTAGTCGGAAATCATTCATCCTTTGTACCAATTATTCCAGTTAACGGGGATATCACTTATATATTTGCCAGTCTTACACTCATCTTAACCAATTCATCATACCTCCTGCAGGGCCGCTACGTATACTCAATTACGTTTTTAATGCCTTGCATAACCTGCTCTATGTTATACATGGAACAAAAATACGTCATAGGTAAATTTAAAAGCAACTTCCAATTTAAACATTCATCTCACACCAAGTCGTCACTGAAGGATATGTCCATACCTCTGCTTGAAGCAGAAGAGGGACGATTCGATGAGGAACAATGACGGACGTGCATGGGTTATAGGGGACGGTAGTGGAGGCAAATGCACCAGTAAAGAACCAGGGGACAGCTGGACACCCCTCTCCCCCACCCACTCTACTTTCCATCCAGGAGGAGGCGAGCGCCATGTAAACAATGTCATCTCTGACCACACCCCACAAAATACAATGTATTTAGTAATTGCTGCAGCAGCGGAGAATGGAGGGTTACCGGAGTCACTATCAAGAGCAGAGACGTTACTGAAAACAAATTTCGGCATGAAATTCAAGTACACTAAAACTAACACATTCCTTGATAAGAGAGAGGAACTGTTGTACAAGAATATGAGAATCGACCCGGAGAAATGTGAGTTCAATTTTGGCGGATAAGACTCATTTCCAACCCTTTCTCAAGCAACTTGCAAGAGGGGTGTGGTAATCTATGCTAGGCAAAACCTTGGAACCAACCAAGGGGAGAGGCTTACTCATTGTCGGATGTATCTACAGATCACCAAACTGTAGCTTATTAACCCAAAGCGGTGTGTGGTGATTAATGGTACGAAATCATCATGTGTACCCGTGACAAGCGTGGTACCACAGATCAGTGCATTGGGCCTGTTGTTGTTTGTTTGTTTCATAAATAACATGCCGGAAGCTATACACTCCTCCATACAAATGTTTGCGGATGATGAAAAATTATTAAGATAAATTAAG